CTCATCCCCTGTCCTCCTCCTCTCCCTCTCCCTCATCCGCTTCCTCCTCCTCCTCCTCCTCCTCCTCGTTTCCATATTCCTCCCCCCTCCTCCCCCCCCCTCTTCCTCCTCCTCCTCCTCCTCCTCCTCCTCCTCCTCCTCCTCCTCCTCCTCCTCCTCCTCCTGCCTCCTCCTTAGGCCTCCTGCCCCCTCCTGGGGCCTCCTGGGGCCTCTTGGGGCCTCCTGGAGCCTTCTGGGCCTTCCGGGACCTACTGGGGCCTCCTCGGGCATTCCTCCTCCTCCTTTTCCTCCTCGTCCTTCCTCTCCTCAGCCTCTTCCTCTTCCTGCTTTCCTGTCTCGTCCTGCATCATCCCTCCTCCTTTTCCTGGCAATCCTCCTCCTCCTCGTCCTCGTGCGGAACACGACCCAGAGGAAGCGCGCGACGTGCGTCCCAGCCGATACGCGCCGGAGGACGACCCAGAGGAAGCGCGCGCCGGAGGATGACCCGGAGGAACCACGTGAGCTGCGGGACCCATAGGAAGGTTCCCGCCTGACGCGTCCTCACAATTCACTCACAGACGAGGGTCCCGCTTGATACTTCTTCCAAATTCAGACCTGAGGAGCCCAAACGACGGTTACAAGAATCCGATGACCCGCTCGGATTAATAACATGATCTGCGGGCCCCATAGGGAGGGGGCTCCCGCCTGAGACTTGCTCGCAATCCCACCAGCCCTTTGGGCGTGAGTGGTTTAGCGAGCTTTCTCTGTTCTCAACCCCCCAACCCCCCTTCTTCCCCTTCGGGGAGGGGTTTACCCCTCCCCCTACCCCCTCCCCCTGGACCTGGAGAGCGGAGCCCGCGGGTCGTCAGGGTGGTCTTTTTCGACGCCTGGGAGGGCCAAAAAACGACGACCCTCACGAGGATTCTGGCTCCGACGGGGGGACCCTCTTGTAGTACCCTCCTTTTCTGTTAAGCCAAAATCATTGTTTGTACGATGGTTTTGGCCCCATTTTGGCCTCCCGAGGGGGCCGCGCTCATCTTCCTTCATAGCAAAATCATTGATTTTACAATGGTTTGGGGCTCATTTTGTCCTTTTCAGGGGGCAGCGCTTCTTTGCGCTTCTGAGGATGTCGCAAGAGGCGCCAAGATGGCCCCAAGAGGCCCCCAGGAGCCTCCCAAGAGGCCTCCAAGAGGCCCCCAAGAGGCCCCCAAGAGGCCCCAAGAGGCCCCCAAGAGACCCCCCAGAGGCCCTCAAGAGGCCCCCAGAGGCCCCAGGAGGCCCCGAAGAGGCCCCGAAGAGGCCCCCAAGAGGCCCCCAAGAGGCCCAAAGAGGCTCCAAGAGGCCGCCAAGAGGCCCCACGAGGAGCCCGAACGACTCACACCAGGTCGAGGGGCCCGAACGACTCATACCACGAAGAACCCGAACGTCTCACGCCAGAAGGAGGACCCCGAACGACTCACACCACGACGCGCGCCTCGAACGACTCACACCACGAGGAGCCCGAACGAGTCACACCAGTACTACTACTACTACTACTACTACTACTACTACTACTACTACTACTACTACTACTACTACTGCTGCGGCTACTACTACTACTACTACTACTACTACTACTACTACTACTACTACTACTACTACTACTACTACTACTACTACTACTACTACTACTACTGCGACTGTTACTACTACTGCTGCTACTACTACTACATTACTACTACTACCACGACTGCTACTACTACCACTACCACTGCTACTACTACTACAACTACGACTACTACTACTACTACTACTACATATACTACTACTCTTCCGATATACTAAGACTACTACTACGGACACTCCTGCTACTACTACTACTACGACGACGAACGGACTACTACTACATAATACTTTACTACGACGACGACGACGACGACGACGACGGACGGACGACGACGACGACGACGACGACGCGACGACGACGACGACGAACGACGACGACGGACGACGACGACGACGACGACGGACGACGACGACGACGACGGACGACGACGACGACGACGACGACGAGACGACGACGACGACGACGACGACGACGACGACGACGACTATACTATACTAGACACTACTACTTACTACTACTACTAACTTACTACCAAAATTTTATTCCGGCAAAGCAACCTAACAGCGATGTGTAGGAGCATATCTGGTAGCATTCCCCTTAAGATTCGGATGAGAATCCAGTTGTAGATTTCTGCTGTTCTCGCAGTCGTAGTCGCATTCGCGATGACAGTCGCAGTGGCAACGGCAGTCGCAGTCACAGCCTCAGCCTCAGCCTGCCTCAGCCTCAGCCTCCGCCTGCCTCAGCCTCAGCCTGCCTCAGCCTCAGCCTCAGCCTGCTTCATCCTCAGCATCAGTCTGCCTTCAGCTCGGCCTCAGCCTCAGACTGCCTCAACCTCAGCCTGCATCAGCCTCAGCCTCAGCCTCAGCCTGCCTCAGCATCAGCCTGCCTCAGCTTCAGCCTCAGCCTCAGCCTGCCTCTGCCTCAGCCTCAGCCTGCTTCAGCCTCAGCCTCAGTCTGCCGTCAGCCTCGGCCTCAGCCTCAGCCTGCCTCAGCCTCAGCCTGCATCAGCCTCAGCCTCAGCACGAAGCAACCCAGCTAGAAGGACAAAGCGCTGAATGTACACCGAT